CATCTAAGCAAAATTACAAAAGTAAAAAAAAATTTTAGGTGCCTGTTACATTTCCCGATTAAAAAAAAAAAAAAACTCCGCACACCACAGAAATATCTTACCATGCATAAGTCACCATTCTTCAGATCCCGGCCACACCTCTTGTTCTGAAAGTAATGTTTGCTTTGTTACACTGTTTGATGTGCGAAAACAAGGGGCTGATATAGTTACTGGGGAGCTATTTCTGCGTGGCAAAAGTGCTTTTGAATGAAAATCATTTGATGAAGGCCAATACTAAACGTTCAATCTATGAATAAACTCACGAGTCTATGAAATAACTTTATGTGCGGCTTTCTTGAGATCGAGCTATTGGTGCCACCAGTTTCGGATACGCGTTGAACTTGCGAAAAAAAAACTGAAAGCAACGCCGTGGAACCCAGATTTTTAAGTTTAACATTAAAAAATTGAAGCTACAAAGCAGCAATTATAATATCTCAAACTGAAGAAGCAACAATCGTGGCGTGGGGCTAAAGACGTGAGTGGTGTCCACTGCCGATTAGTGATTGGACAAGACTGCAGTGACGTTTGAGGCTGCTGCTTTAGTAGTACTATTGTCAAATATCTTGAGACGTGCAAACTAAGAACAGACGTCATTGCATATTCTTGTTTCTTACGGCGTTATGCTGACTGTGAAGTGTGACGCTGTGAGTGCATGCTCTATCTTCTCTTAGTCTTTTTTCATATGTTCAAAGCTCCTTCCTCTCCTTTCTTCTGTGTAGGGTAGCATACCAGCCCCCCTATATTGGTTCACTTCCCTGCCTTTCCTTTCCTTTTTATTCCTTCCTCGTTTGTTGCAATATGTCTGGCCAAGCTTAAGAGGAACCGCAATGATGTGGTAATGCATATTTGTGAACACCATAAAGCAGTATTTTAGTAATATTCAAGTCTCAATATCGACATTAATAATACAATAGGGGCACTAGCAAAAACTTTTTATGGTGAAATAAAATGTGTCAATTTTGCCTGGACATGTTTGTTTTAAGGTTCGACAGCCAAGCTGACGTGTCGAGCATTTTTATTTTTAGATGGGTTTAGTATGCATGTGTTGTTTTAGTTTTGAAACTTTTCACAACATTTCTACAAGAAAATGGCACCTTCACATTGTCCTAATTCTTGATGCTTTTAAGTTACGATAATACCTGACATTATATTAGCACCAATTATGTCCTTTGAAGTGTCGTTTTTTTTGCGAACCACGCATAATATGGCCACATAGTACATGCAGTGTGTAAGAAATCCATAGACAACACTCACCATCAAATCTGAAGTCTTCACAACGGCGGCCCCTGCAAGTGGACAGGAAGTTAAATTTTTTCCAAGAACATAAAAAAGACACATAACGTTCGATTGGCCGCTTGGATAGTTAGGTAATATAAATTCACCATTATATCGCAGATTCAGAAACAAGTGAAAGAACTGTTAAATAAGAGCTTATATAAATTTTGTTAGCATGTCCAGGGCACTTTAATACATTTGCGGCGAGCCTCCACCTCGTTCAAGCCAAGTCAGCGGGTATTTCGTACAGTAATAGATAGAAAGCTCAGCTGTGTTGTATGAGCCCTGTCCACAGCCAGTACAAGAACCGTTGGTTCTTGGCTATATGACCACGGATAGCCGCCTACATAATAATTAACGCAACAACAATGAGTCTGTAATCTGGTAAATACCGTTTAACGAAACGCACAATGAATACATGCTAAATTTCAAACAACAAGCTGCTTTTAAAAGCTTATTTCGTAAATAAAAGAAACTAAAAAAGAGGCATAGCCACATTTTCAACTAATATGTTGAGATAACTTTCGCCGGCACAAATACATTGGAAAACAGAGATGTGCAAGAAAGGAGTCGAGATACTGTAAAATCTCGCACATGACGTGTTTTCATTGCGATCGACAGAGTTTTACCAGAAATGCTTTATTGCTTGCACACTGCATGTAATAGAACGGTTAAAGCGATAATTGTTGAATCTTCGTGAGTCTCTGACTTCCATAGATTTGAGTTTACGAAGTAGAGTTACGTTCGCAAGCTGCGATATTATTATAAATGCGCAGTAGTGGAGCGATTCGAAAATTACGACCATCTGGTGCGACAAGATTGCTTTCAAAAGATATGGCATCTTGTAAAAGGTGAAAAGCCAAGATTATCTTATTCAACCTCACTAACTTTAAGAAGGGTTGTTCGCGACTTAGGTTCACGTGTGCTATAAGGATTTGAGGTATAACCTGAAAAGACTGTGTCCCAGCGCCCCTTTAATTCTAAAAGACATTCATTTCACTTCGTTTTTAAACCACTGCATCTTTTATCACGAAACACAATACCCGGATTGTACTTGATTATCAATACAGCATTTCCGTTCAATATTCGCAGTTTCGACCAAGGTTTGGAAAGTTGCTATGGTTATTTTTAATTAAACCTAATCCTCAGTTGTTCAATATATTGACGCAAGGTAGGCTGGCAACTTTAGTGGCCAGCCTTTGAGGAAGATAACGAAGTAGTTCTGTGGGCGCGTACTCTGGTGTTCGCACAATAAGTTTGTTGCTGACAATGTGCTATACATGGAAGTGCATCTACCTTCATTGTTAAATAAATTCCAAATACCTGCTATATAAACATTTTTAAAACTATAATAAAGAGCCAAGCTCTTTAAGAGACAAACTATAATAAAGAGCCAAACTTTCATCAAAGAGCCAAGCTCATTTTTTGAAAATCGGTGGTCGCAATTCCACTACCCACAGATCATGTTCGTTCAAGCACTGCTAAAAGCACTCAACGTCGAAATTGACCATATTTTCACAACGAGTAACTTAGACCTCCAGATAGAATTTAATAATATTTACCCATCTAACGCGAAACAACTGCCATTTCAATATTTAAATGATCGGCTTCAGGATTACTTGGAAGACGTGAACATGAACAACAAAATTGCGACTGATGCATGCGTATCAAATGGAAAGGCTGGCGCAGGTATCTTCTCACGTTCCCTTGACTGGTCCTTTCGATTAGACTTCCAGATGACAAACCAATATTCATAGCAGAACTAATTGCTATTGTACTGAAACTACGGAACCTTCCTTTGGGCGAATCAGAAGCAGTCGCAATTATACATTTTATTTTCAGTATGTGCTGCTCGGTCTTTGGGAGCCAACCTAACACTTATGCATATGTTTCGACAACTCATACCAACAAACTTGTAAAAACTTCAGCTGTTATGGGTACCAGGCTATCGTGGCATATATCTCAATGAGATGGCGGATGCACTAGCTACAGTATCTCTTAGCGGTCCCCTTATCCCGATTTTGCCTGATACCGCTTATACGCGACCGCAATAAGGTTTAGAAACCTCTGTTTGCATGGCTTCAACTACTACTCATTGGATAAAGTTCGAGATTTCGCACATCTAAGATAATGCTGTAATAGACAGTGCGCTACACGGCAATTGGAAGTTATACCAGATTGCGTTGTATAATTCCAAAATTAAAAATATTATTTACATAAAGTTGGTCTAAAGGCGTCACCCTTATGTCAGGTTTGCGAAGAAATGCAAACGATCGATCATTTATTTGTATTTTGTCGCCGATATTCTTATCAGCGGAAAAGATACCTGGTAGCTCCATTTGAAAAATGGGATTAGAAATAAATGTGGCAGTTTTTTATCGTTTGGCAGCGTTAAATTTTGTTATAGCCACAGGAACGTCTCCTCTGCGGTATTTAACTACATATTTGAAACAAAGCGATTGCTATGTTAGAGTGCATTTTTATATATGTATCATTCGTTTTGGACCTACCATTACCTCCGTCTCAAATCACATCTGATAGTCTGCATCGATCCTGCTCAGATACTCAGATACACTCCTTTTTAAATTTCTGGCTTTCTCTCTCTCTCTCTCTCTCTATATATATATATATATACATATACATATATATATATATATTTCAGTTCAACATTGCTTTGTGTTTGTAAAACCATAAGCCTTTTACTTAAAAATTCTGCCACTCGGTTCTTGGCCGATCTGCCTAGGTGGGTGTGCGCCAGAAAAACAAGGATCATCATCATCATGTCAGTGAAGAGTAATAGACTGGGCAATAAGTGGATGAGTCGTGTCAAGTACATCTCACATTCTGTAGGGGCCATTTTACATATTTACTCACCTAATATAGAAACCACAAATATTTTCATATACATGCTTGACCACCAGTGGCAGCTCATTGCTGGCGTCTACATTCTGTTGGTTGTTCAGACAAACAAGACAATGCATTTAAAGCATTTCCAAGGACGTGCGTACTAACTGTTAAACATGCGTCAGCGATAATTGTGATTTTCATTCACTGGAAAGATACATTCTGAAAAGCAGAGGATTGCGAAGAAAATGCTTAGGAAATTTGAAAACAGTATTGACGAAAATTTCTATGACTGTATGTTGGCCTCACTGGTATGTTTTGACGAACGAAATAGAGTTCAATTGCTGGTAAATACCTGATACAATATCAAGTGACCCTGACAAGGTGCTTGAAGGTTGTTCAGCGTTGACCAGCAAACGGTTTTGAAGGGGTCAGATAATTAGGAAATGTTGACTTCAAGGAACTGAACGGCTACTTACGTGGGCTGTAAAGAGTGCCTGCTGAGTAAAATATAAAATAACAAAATAACATTACATAACACATCGAAATAATATTTCAATAAGAAAAAGTTTTTGAAACAGAGGGTCCTAAACCATTACTTCGGCGCCAATATCGATGGAGAAGAAATTTAGCGTGCACCTAGAATTTGATTCCGTTAGTCATTTAACTACCGACGCAACAATAAAAAAATAAACAACGCGGTTGCCCTATTATGTGGAGAATAGCGGCATTTCTTTTAAGGGTACATGCAAGCCTGAAAGATTGTTAATAAAAACAGCTGCTTGTTGTCTTTGAGGCGAAAATGAATCGCTTGCAAGCTGTTCTCTTCCATGAGAAGTTTAACGATGACGCCGTCATTCTCACAGTGTTGGAATGAAAAAGACGGAGGCCTATTCGTAAGTTCAAAGCGAACGCTTGGAGAAAACTGGTTCCTAGCCATATCCGTCATGGTTGGTAACGTCTTCGCAGTACGGGAAATTTTCTTACTCGCCATGCTCGTCACAGGTAAGCGAATAAAGCATGTTAAGGACTGAGGTATGTAAAGGTTCAAGCATCGCGATGGTGTAGTTGTGAATGAGTGCACATTTTCAGTTGTACTCCGCTGAATAGTTTATTTGAATGAACTCCAGAATAATCAAAGTTTCACCTAAATCGTAACACATCGTTCAGGGTGTGCATGAAAAGCATGGATACCGAGAGCCATTACAAAGTCATTGAAGCAAAGTAATGTACGAGAAGTGAAAAGAAAAAAAAAAAAACGTTGTTGGGCTAGTTGGTTTGACATCTTGCAAAGGGCAGCGCAGAATCAGTTTGGAAGAAAGAGCACACGGCAGAAATGGCGCTGAATTGAAACTGAGATTGTTCGAAAAAGCTTCACACGTAGAAAGCTAAACGTAAGCGTAATCACAATGCATTGTCACAAAAACATTCAAAATCACTGGAAAATCTTGTAACCACCGAAATAGATAGGTTCAAAGGGGGTATGTAATCAGCTTAGGCATTCGAATGAGGCGCAGGAACTTTGATTTCTGTATCATAAAATGCACCGAAGTTGCATGAATGTACACACCTGCTGCATCTGAATTTATTCCGCTTCTGAAATCTTTCTTCCGAGCTTACGCTTTGCTTGACTCAAGACATGTGCCTCTTTGAGAAGTGCTGTGCTACACACTTCCTGCATTGCGCAGAAAGGTGCGCCTCATCATTCTGAGCCTTCAGCGTAGCCGAATGCTGTGTTAGTTTGTCATTACGGCATCGGCGTGTTTGGGTGTTGTAAGCTTTACCACAAATGAGTGGGATCTTCTAGGCCACTTCTGTAGCCTAGGGAACGTGTGGCTTGTTATACCTCTTTTCGCGCAGTTTTTTCTTGTTTTTTTTTTTTCGAGTGAGATCACACAAGCGGAGAAGCTGAAAGGCTACTATAAAGACGAAGTCCGCGCTATGCTTTAAATGCCTTCTTCTTGAGGTCATCTGACATAGTGTGGATGTAGGTCGTGATAACGTATTTGTCAGGCATCGGTCGTGATGAGACACAGCTTGAAGTACTAGGCTGTTTGAGAAGACAGGATGTCACGAAACCAAGCAAGGCGTAAGGGAAACCAGAAGCTGAAAGGTATGAAATTTGGTGGTCGAACGTATGGCTGATATTATGAGTGCGTGACTTGGTAAGAGCCGAATTAAGGCATGAAGAAGCAATGCCCCATTTCACCGAAATGATCCTATAGGAATAAAATATCTTTATGTGAAAGTGGTTTATAACCCCAGCCGGCTTGATGTAAAGTGGTTTGATGTTTGGTAATTGTGTCCATTTTAGGCTGCGGGGTCGCTGCAATGAGCCTTGAAGAGGTAAACAACTAGCAGCTCTATTTTGATGTGTTTACTAAAGCTCTCGTTCGTTGATATAGTTCTATGATGTGCTTACCCTTTGTTATGCATAAAATACAACTTGCTGTAATGGAATATGCGTCAAAAGTGTGGCGTGGCCAATAGAAGTCAGTTGTAGTTTCGTGTGCCGCAACTTTCAACCATTTAATATACTAATTACAATAAACATATTGCTACGGCTGCAGTTCAAAGTTGTGTGAGCTCTCCGGACGTGTACTGAAGCGGAACTGGCTATTAATTTATTTTATAGTGAGCGCTGTTATAATACCACAACCATAGCCGTCTCTGTCAGTATCCATAAGCGCGACCACAGAAAATAACAAAAATGAAGTAAATAATGTATGCCGGAGAGAATGACATTCGAACAGTGTCTTCTGCGTGGCAGATATGTATTTCATTTCATTTCATTTATTTTCTCTCAATGCACAAGGCGTTACAGAGAAGAGTGGTGGAAAAACAAGTAACAATCTGCACAAACAAGTGGAGCATGTTTAAAAAGGGTATGCGTTTATGGTACTCTTGAAGTTGGCCGGGTCAGTGATGGAAGCGGGAAGGTGATTCCAGTCCGTGCTTGTTTTAGGCACGAATGAATTAAAATGGAGGTTTGTACGGCTGCCTGTAATTCCAACTTTGAAGTGGTGATCGCTGCGGGATGAAATGTAGGATGGCGGCAAAAAAAGCGAGCTACTCAGTGAGTGCATGGTATGGTACAACTTGTGGAAGAGGCACAAGCGCGAGATTTTGCGGCGAAATGATAGGCTAGGTAGATTTAAGGTTGACTTCATATGGGTTACGCTTGCTGTATGGGAATAGCTCGACAAAATGAAACGAGCAGCGCGATATTGAATTGCTTCGATGCTACTGATATGGATGTTTACGTGGGGATTCCATACAGATGATGAATATTCTAGCTTTGGTCGGACTAATGTTTTATAGAGCAGAAGTTTCAGTTGCATCGGGGCAAGGGAGAAATTACGGCGTAAATGACCAAGTGTGCGGTTAGCATTGTTTTTAATAAGGTCAATGTGAGACTGCCAGGAAAGGTTGTCAGAAATTGTAACGCCAAGGTACTTGTAAGAGCTAACTTTAGTAAGGGGAGAATTATTAAGTACGTAGTTAGTAGAAATATTACATGTTCGACGTGAAACTCTCATTACCTTGCATTTAGTAACATTAAGGTTCATTAGCCAAGTATCGCACCAAGATGAAACATTGTCGAAGTCACACTGAAGGGCAAGGTGGTCAGAAGGGGTTTTAATTTCGCGGTAAATAGCACAATCATCGGCGAAAAGTTTAATAGAAGAAGAGATGTTATGTGGCAAATCGTTAATGTTAATTAGGAAGAGTAGTGGGCCCAGAACGGATCCTTCGGGGACGCCAGAGGTTACGGGTGAGAGGGGAGAGTTGGATTCATTCGCAGTTACAAATTGGGAGTGGTCTATTAGAAAGGATTCAATCCATTTTAATTATGTTAGCATCAAGATTAAGTTTGCTTAGATTTAGCAGTAGCAGTTTATGGTATATAGTGTCAAAAGCTTTAGCGAAGTCGAGAAAAATACAGTCAACAAGGGAAGAAGCGTCAATGGCAAGAAAAAGGTCATTAGTAAAGCAGAGAAGTTGGGTCTCACACGAGTACTGTTTCCGGAATCCTATGCTGGTGATCACTAAGGAACGAGTTGTTTTCTAAAAAAGTGATTATGTGGGAGTAGATGACGTGTTCCATGAGCTTACACGGTACTTGTTAACGATATGGGCCTGTAATTGCGGGGGTTATGAACGTCGCCTGATTTGTCAAGAGGAACCACCTTTCCCGCTTTCCAGTAGCCCGGGAGGCAATGAAATTCCAAAGACTGTGTGAAAAGCTTACATAAAATTACAGATGAGTAAACAGAGGTATTATGCAAAAACTTTGCACAGATGCTGTCTTCACCTGGAGCACTGGCTAATTTCATGTTTTCTATCAATTTTTGTATGCCAACACAGTCAAATAAAAGGGGTTCCTTGGCAACAAAGTTGTAGGTGGGGGTATCAGGAAAGGAAAGGGCTGTAGGTTTAACAAAGCACGATGAAAACACAGAGCTTAAAAGGACACAACACTCTTCTTTTGGTACACGGCTGTTATCATCATGGATTAATTCTATCGCCTTTTTTTCATTTCCCCTAATCATCTGCCAAAATTTCTGTGGGCTAGTTGCAAGCAGGGAGGGAAGCGTTTGTTGATAATAATTTTCTTTTGCAACGGATCATGCGCGAGTGTACTCGTCAGCTGTGTGATGATAAATGGACCACCTTTCCGCGTTGTTAGTTAGCTTTGCCCTTCGAAAAATTCGTTTCTTTTTATTCAGTAGTCGTTTTAGTGTAAGCGTGAACCAAGGGGACTTAGCATTTTGCCTAATTCTGCGGAGTGGAATAAAACGATTGGTAAGTTCTGCTACCTTCCGCTTAAACAAATTCTAGTTTTGTTGCATGGACCTTTCCAGAAATTGCGAAAGGTAATCGTTTAGGAAAAGCTGAAGCTAATTATTAATTGAAACATAATCGGCTCTTTTGTAGTCCCTCAAAACTTTGAGCTATCATTTATTTTCGCTGTTTTAGTCATGTTAAAATGAATAGCTAGATGGTCGCTTACGCCCGGAATAACTGATAGGGATTTAATTAGGTCGGGATGCGTGGTCAGCACCTAGTCTAGAACTGAGGAAGTGGACAAGGTAATGCGGGTTGGAGCGTTATTCAGCTGGGTAAGGTTAAAGTCTGAACACACATCAAGAAAGGAAGCACTGTCAGCAGAAGTTGATGAAATTATTGGGAAAGGGGGAGACCACCAAACATTAGGGAAGTTAAAGTCACCTATGAGAAACATAGGCGCAGCCGGAAAACCTTACTCGCAACTTATTTAGTACATCGTGTAATTCATTTGCGAAACCGGTACTAAGGTTAGGAGGCCGGTAGCAGCCACATACAACGATATCTTTGTGGTTAATGCGAACACACGCGACAACAATTTCAAGGGGTGAAACAACAGGCAAGCTGAACGAGCTACTCTCGTCGCTAATGGCAATCAATACGCCGCCCCCGCACCTCGTACCCCGGTCACAGCGGTAGAATTTAAACTTTTTTGAAGCAGTTAAATATTTCGTTATTTTCAATTTCCGCGGACAGCCAAGTTTCAGTTACTACGACGACATCAGCTAGACATGTATCTATTAGCGCAAATAGGGCATCACGCTTGTTAGTTACACTTCGAGAATTACATAGCAAAAAAGAAAATTCGTGAGCTAGAAAATGCTTATCTAGCTATCGATGTGAAGGAGGAGCGCTGGCCCCTGCGCATTCTGCATTGCTTACTTTGGGAGCAACGTGAACGGGGTTATCATGAATAGGTCCTGTCCCAGTTACACGATCGGTGACCGGACAATAAACGTAGGCTTTCTTGTTGATTAGTATCTTGTTATACTTCAAGTAATATGGCTGCCTAGTGCTTTTCGCGAAATTTAAAAGCTTTTTCTGGATGTGGCGCGTGGCCTTGCAGAAATCTTCGCTAACTGACACGGGGGTGCTGCGAAGCATCGATTTCTTAGTAAAGACACTTTCTCTTGTTTTGAACGAACTGAAGCGAACAATAACCGGTCGACATTTGTTCTGTACATATGTTGCAAGCCTGTGTGCACGGGAGATGGCTTCATTAGGAAGTTCCAGTTTAAGGGACGCAGACAGGATTTCACGAATTTTTAGCTCCGACTCAGCCCAGGTTTCTGAAGAAGAATCCAATATCCCATAAACAATTAGGTTCTCCCTACGAGAGCGATCCTCGAAGTCATCAAGCCATGAACTGAGAGCGACACTTTCGTGTCGCACGGCAGCCGTTACAAGACCTTGCATCTGTGCATTGTCTGGAACGCTTCTCGAGGGAAATAACCTTCTGTTCAAGTACAGTTAGTCGGGTGGTTAAATCTGTTACTTTGGAATCAAGTAGCAACTGGTTTTCTTTAGCTTCGTTAATAGTCTCCTGCAAGTTGTCATGACGCTCATCCAAGTGTGCAGTTAGTTTGCTGATGGCGGCTAGTACTTCGCTATTCGCACCAGGATTCTGTTCAATATCCCCGCAAAGAAGAGGTTCCTTTATAACGACAAAACACTCTGCGACTATATCAAGCAACACATGTGGGCATGGAAGAAGCAGCAGACAATAGTTGCTAGATCGCTTAGCGCTATAATCTTGGGAGGGACCAACCTGAACGAAAAGCAAAAAGTGGTCGGATGAGACCATGGTGGCGGCCGCTCCGTTCCACTGCCCACTTAGGCGCGCGGTGGAAGGCTGGCTGTATTTGTAGTTTTCTGGGTGGCTTGACGATGTCGATGCGGTTGGCTTGGTGGCTGCGTAAGGGGTTGCCGGAACGGGAGGTTGAAGTGGCACCGGGCAACAACGGCTCGGTTCGGGCTGGGGAGGGCACGTGCCGTATGGCGTGCCAGGCGCATGTGGTTCCATGCAGTCCGGCGAGCTCGTGCTGATGACTGCGAACAACTGTACGAAAAGCAAAAAAGTGGTTGGATGAGACCATGGTGGCAGCCGCTCCGTTCCACTGCCCACACACAAAGCCATTGTACCACAAAGCCATGCCAATGCTTGCAAATCTTTTTAAAATAGAACCTACGCAGGCTTCATGTCGGGGAAGGAATCACGTTAACGTGTGTAATAGGCCATTTTAAAATAGTAGCATATAACCAGATCTCACACAATGAAAATCATGTAATGAGGGGGGTCACTGAATGCTTCCAATTTCTTAAAAAACGCTCAACCATAACTGTTTTTCGCCGTCAGCCACATCATCAACAGAGTGTGTATGGTGCCTAAAAAGTGCGTAGCGGGTGCCACGCTTATACGAACAACGAGTAATGACATAAAAGACACTTTCCTACTGTACAAAATTATGATTTATGACGCAATAGAAGCAACGCAAGTATATCTATGGTTGCTCTAAGAGTGCATAAAGGAAGGCTCTAGAGGCAGCTCTTCCCTCTTTCAGTGTGACTGCTTTGCGCTTTCTGCTCTGGTCTGGCGTTTTGTTTAAAACAGAGAGAGAGAGATAAAGATACAAGGAAAGGCAGGGAGGTTAACCAGACGCACATCTGGTTTGCTACCCTGCACTGGAGAAGGAATAAAGGGGAGAAAAGAGGTTGCACAAAGATGAGAAGGTACACACAATCACGAGCACACTCGGGGAGCACACACAGTTCGCAGGCGGTCGCTCAGGTTTGTTGACTTAAGGTAAAGTAGCAGTGCTTTAGTTGCTTTCTGCGCAACTGAGGCAGATGCCCAAGGTCCTAGTATCTTCTGCACACAAAATGGTCCGGGGTCAAGTCGATTCAAAACCATCCGTAGCTGGCATCGCTGTGTGTCGTAGCAAGCGCAGCTGCACAGGACGTGTTCGATGGTCTCTTCATCTCCGCAGTAGTCGCATGTAGGAGTGTCTGCCATACCAATGCGAAAGGAGTACACCTTTGTGAATGCAACACCCAACCAAAGGCGGCATAACAGTGTCGCATCGGAGCGGGAAAGTTGTGATGGTAGCTTTAGCTTGAGCGAAGGATCCAGTTCATAAAATTGACACCTTTGGAAGCTGGTAGACGACCAGAACGTGCGTGTGAGATCTCGAGCCAGCAGGTAAAGTTGTCTTGCTGCATCATTCCTTGATAGAGGAATCGGGACTACACAGGTTTCTTCAAGGGCTGAGCGGGCTGCATCATCGGCTAGTTGATTTCCGGTAATACCGATATGTCTAGGCAGCCACTGATATATAATATCATGCCCTCGTGCTAGAGCTTCATGATAGCAATGTCTTATTTCTTGTACCACTTGGTCATGGCTCCTCCTACGCATGGCAGACTGCAAACTCTGAAGCGCTGCCTTCGAATCACAGAATATGGCCCGTTTTCCTGGACGTTCTTGAACGAGATAATGTAAAGCAGCCCTTATAGCAGCAAGCTCTGATGCCGTAGATGTAGTCATATGTGACAACTTAAACTTGATTGTCATTTCTGCAGCCGGAATTACAGCGGCACCTGATGAGCTGCTGGATGAGACGGACCCATCAGTGTATATCTGCGTTCGGTCTAAGTACAACTCATGTAATAATAGCAGTGTTGCTTGCTTCAATGCTACTCTGGAGTGACTGCTTTTCTTTTTGATTCCCGGAATTTCTAGACGTACTTGCGGCTGGTCGAGGCACCACAAAGGGCATGCCGTTCTCGCAGGTGGCGTATATCCTGATGGAATGCTGTTTAGGTGCTTGGCTATGACGTCTGAAAACGTAGCACGTGGCCTTCCGGAAGGTAGACGGGCCAAGTGGTGGTCGGGGACACGGCTAGCATGTTGAATGTGCGCTCTGAGGCAATCCACAACTATATATGTCCTGACCGGATTGTCTTTGGCAAGCATAATTGTGGCATAAGTAGAAGCGCATCGGGGCAGTCCTAGGCAGATACGCAGTGCCTGACCCTGCAAACTCTCCAATGAATGAGTATTCGATTAGCAAGTGTTAGTCAGTACCGGCAAGCTGTAGCGCAATAGACCCAGAAATAGGGCCCTGTACAGCTGTAGCATGGAGGCCACAGAAGTTCCCCATGCTTTACCGCACAAGAATTTCATGATATGCACAATAGATAGCAGTCTCTTCAAGTACGCACAATGTGGGCTCCACGAAAGACTTCTGTCGATTATTATGCCCAGAAAACGATGCGTCCATGCATATTTGACACTCTGCCCATTGATGTAAACAGGATATGGCGTCATTGGTTTGCGTGTAAACGCCATCAACGCGCACTTCACAGTTGATATATTTAGGCCTTGTTTCTGAAGGTAGGCTGTTGTGAGGGTTGCTGCCCGCTGTATTCGTGCACGCACCTGAGGGCGAGTAACTGCAGCACTCCAGAGGCAAATATCATCGGCGTATATGGATAGGCCCACCGACTTTGGCAGAACCTTCACCAGACCAATGAGGGCCACATTGAACAATGTGGGGCTTAAAACACCTCCCTGAGGTACTCTGCAGTAGGTGTAATGTTGGGCCGTTGTACCCTCATATGTTTGTACAAAGAAACCTCTGCCAGTTATGTAATCTTTTATCTATTGAAACATTCGTCCACCAATGCCCATTGCTGCGAGAGAAGTGAGGATGGCATCGTGAGCTACATTATCATATGCACCCTTCACGTCAAGAAAGAGTGCCACTGATATGCGCTTGCGACTTTTTTCTTGTTGAACAAATGTCGATAAATCAAGGACACAGTCAATGGAGGAGCGGCCCCGACGAAAGCCTGCCATGCAAGAAGGGTATTTGGTGTATCGTTCCAAGTACCACTCGAGACGAAATAGAACCATTCTTTCCATCACTTTTCCGAGGCAGCTTGCGAGGGCAATAGGGCGATACGCTGTCAAGTCCAATGGTGATTTTCCCGATTTCAAAAGTGGTATTAATCGACTAATTTTCCATTCTTGGGGAACGCTACCGCTGAGCCAGGAGTTGTTGAAGCATGTTAAAAGTTCTTTTCCAGCTTTCTGTCCAAGGTGTCCCAACGCACTATAAGTAATACCATCAGGACCTGGCGATGACATGCACTTAAAAGCGACTAACGCACCTTCCAGTTCTTCCATGGTGAACGGAATGTCCATTTCTGGTAATCGCGTCTCAGGAACGATCACGGCGTCGATGCTCTCGTTCACAATATTCCCGGCAATTCTCGTGCAAAATTCTTCAGCCACCTCGAGTTCTGTTTTTCCCTGATGCAGTGCCAAAGCTTTAAAAGGGTGCCGTTGTTGTGGAGAGGAGCGAAGACCACGAACTGTTCTCCAGATATATGACAGCGGTTTATGAGGGTCTAGAGATTCGCAGAATGCTTTCCAGCGTTCGCTCTCCAGTTTGTAAATGCGCCGTTGAATCTTTTTCTGGAGCCGCCTTGCTTCCCTCAGATCGTAAATTGATCTTGTGCGTCTGTATCGTCGTTCAGCACGCCTTCGTATAGCTCGTAATTTTTTCAGTTCGATGTCAAACTGTGTTACTTTAGACGAAAATGGTAATGACGAAAATGGCACTGACTGGTCGATGTTTGCATCGCGTGTTGAGAACGCTTGCCAAGAAGGCCTCGCCTGCAGCCTGGAAAATACCATAGTGGAAGCTATGCAAGCGTCCAAATGTAAATTACCAGTTTAAAACAGAGTACTTGTGCAGGGTAATACTTGAGCGATCTGCGAGGCTTTACGCCACATACTTGCTTTTAAGCGTTTGTTTTATCCCTCCGCAGCTTCCCTCTGCTGTTATTTTCCGCCAATCAAGAGACATGACAAGTGGCACGTAAGTGTTGACATCAAATCGCCTTCTCTTCGCAATGGCCTTTTTTGCAACACTAAAAAATATGGGTGCTGTATTTAGTGTATTTCGCAGTGCCAGAGCGAGCTTATCGCACATTTACGTGACGCGTTTTATTCCACTGCTGCTATATCTAATTGTGCTACGCGGTATTCTATGTCGTAAACAAACCTTTAAAGCAGAATCTGATTTTATTTGTCGGCTTTTCAGAAACATCTAAACGGCTCGACCACCTGCACTAGCAACAACTGCAATCATAGTGCCAAAGAAACTCTCGGGTATAATTCAGTAAACACTGAATGAAGGCGTGAATAAAATGGGCCTTGTTGAACACTTTTTTCGAGTGTCGTGTTTAGGAAGCGTGAATCTGGCCGTCATAATTCTGCTGGGCTCGAGTAAATGGTGCCATCGCATTTCACCAAAATATATTTAAGTCAAGCAGTTTTTCGGCCACAAATTTGACAATTTATTTATGTTTGCAGGCCTACCCAGAGATATTTTAGCATGATCTCTGCATTGCCAGTGAGATGGCGCGAAGGGCACTTTTAAGATGTTGGGGCCCCGCTCGTTTTATGTACACATGTGCGTGAATTTTATGACTCCTTCGAACGAAGGAAAACAAGAGACAGAGGAAAGACATGAATGTTAGGCAGTTTAAAATGATCCGTATCTGTAAGAAGCTTAAACAAACAAGAACGTGTTCAATGGAATGTGCTATTAATTGAAACTTTAAAATATTAGCCAAGAAGAAACGGTAAAGTATTAGCAAAACTCCCTGTATGCATAAGTGAAAATTGAGAACTGTTAGTTCTTATTATTTGGTGGATACGTGGGGTTTAACGTCCTTGATTGATTGATTGATTAATTTGTGGGGTTTAACGTCCCAAAACCACCATATGACTATGAGAGACGCCGTAGTGGAGGGCTCCGGAAATTTTGACAACCTGGGATTCTTTAACGTGCACCCAAATCTGAGTACACGGGCCTACAGCATTTCCGCCTCCATCGGAAATGCAGCCGCCACAGCCGGGATTTGAACCCGGGACCTGCGGGTCATTACCCGCCGGTCCCGGGTTCAAATCCTTGAGCAGTCACTTGAGCGGGCACGGGAGCAGCGCATCAAGCATGATGCCTGATCTGCGTGTTTTTCCAATGCAGGCTGCGCTTGCGCTGTTGGTGGTCTGGCTACCGGCTGTCTCTTCTGGCTCGGCGTGTTCGCATCTGCTCTGGCAGGTGCATTCTTCTGGCGTCAAAACCACAAGCAGTGGCATATTCTTCAATGCAACTTCATCGGCGAAGCTCGACCATCATCTACCAACAGCATCGACAATGACATCGCTCCCCGGAAACCACAAAAGCAGCTTGCGGACCAACCTGTTCCTCAGTGGGCACGGGAGCAGCGCATCAAGCATGATGCCTGATCTGCGTGTTTTTCCAATGCAGGTGTGTAGAAAATATTCTCTTTATGCTAAAAAGTCGAATAATACCTGCCTTTTGCTGTTCCCGTGCCCACGGGTTTTGTTTGATACCATTTGTGACTGCTTTTCCACTGCCTTGCTAATCCTGGGCCAACAACGCGTTCTGAAGCGCTATTGCAACTTGAAACGCTACCCGAGAACCCCGCTGAACAAATGAGTGTACTACTTCAGCTTCTTAAAGACGTTCATGCGCGTTCTGTTCAAAGTTCGAAGAATCACGCTGATCTAGCTGCTGATGTAAAAACCATAAAAAACGGTCAAAAGGACGTCGAGACGAAAGTAACCGGAACACTAAAAAGACTAGATGAACTAGAAAACAAATCCAAAATTGTCGAAAACTTCAAAAGTGAGCTATCAAGCATGCGTAGTATGGTATCAGAAACTACTGCTCAAAACGGCTTGCTACAGGCTCGCCTGGACGAGCTTGAAGATAGGTCTCGACGTGACAATTTAATTTTTCATGGGTTTCCAGATGTCAAAGAATCCTGGGAAGAAACTGAAGCAAAGGTGGTCACTGAAATTACGTCCGTCATAGGGTCATTTTCGCCAAACTCGATTCATCGCGCACACCGACTAGGCTCATTTTCGCAAAACCGATGCCGTCCCATCATTGTAAAGTTTAGCGACATCAAAACTAAAGATAAAATATTGTCTGCACGCTCCCAATTTAAAATAAAGACATAGGCATTAGCGAAGACTTCTCGCCCGCTACGCGCATCATCCGAAAAAAGCTCACTGATTTCGCAAAAAATCTGCCAGAATCCCCCCAATTTAACTTACGTTATACAACAAGCTATATGTTAATAAAAAATGCTACATGTTTGATACTAACGCTGGACAGGTTATTGAAGTAGAACTGCCTGGTCGAGGTTTCGAAAGTAACATCCAGGCACGTGTCCCTTCCTAGGAACGCGCGAGGGGTAGTGGTCCTAAATCTAACCCATGGATCTCTGTTCTGTTCACGAACATAAGAAGCCTTCTTAACAAATATGATTCTTTATCTTCCGCAATAGATACCTGCGATGCACAAATAATTGTACTAACCGAAACGTGGCTCCGTCCGCATGTGCAGGACTCGGAAATTTTTAATCAAGCGAGTCATTTTGCAATTTATCGTTGTGATCGAACTGCGCATCGGGGTGGCGGTGTTCTGTTAGCGATATCCAAAAACATATCTTCTTCTTGCATACACATTACCACCACTCTTGAAACTATCTGGGCTTTGCTCACTATTGGCCATCAAAAAATCGTCTTAGGCGCATGCTATCGTTCCCCTTCGTCGTCCTCAACATTTGTTAACGAACTCCACGACGTTATGAACCACATCGTAACACGTTTCCCCAGTTATCCCTTACTTTTACTCGGTGACTTTAACTTTCCGAACATAAATTGGACTACACAACCAGTTTCCATTTCTCCTTTTTCGACACAAGCTTCTGAGTTTTTTAACTTTTGCTCTATCTTTTCTTTAACGCAATTAGTAGATCATTCAACTAGAATATCATCTCACGCAGCTAACACTCTTGACTTAATCCTAACTACGCGGCCCGATTTTTCTTCCGACATAACGTACTTGCCCGGAATCGGCGATCATTCTCTTCTCAGTTTTTCTTTTAATGCATCATTCCCAAAAGTTTCAAACAACAAAAAAGTAATTCGTGACTACAAAAAGGCGAACTTTCAGGCTATTAATCACGAGTTATCCATCTTTCTTGATACTTTTTTGGCAAACTTCGATGATCATTCTGTTCAAACTAACTGGGACATATTTGCGCGTAAAGTTTACGATCTAACAGAAAAATTCATACCAAAACGCACTATCACATGTAATCATCGCGCCCCGTGGTACAACGCCCACTTGAAAAGGCTGTCTAACCGTAAGAAGCGCCTTTATCGTTCTGCCAGGAAATCGCCAACTGATTCCCGATGGGAAGCTTACAGATTAGCATCGAACGCTTACATATCTGCATTAAAAGCTGCTAAATCTTCATTTTTTTCCCAAACCCTGCCATCCATGCTTAATAATAACGTTAGAAAGTTTTGGAAAGTCATAAATCCGCCACATGATAACAGTATTTACTTAGAAGACGCATCGGGCAATTCCATTTCCTTGAGTGATTGTGCGGCTGTGCTCAATGATACATTCACGAAAAACTTTTCTGTTCCTTCCACAGTTAATGCTCCTAGCGTGCAGACATATAATTTTCCTGTAATGTCCTCCATCTGTATCGAAGCGCCAGGTGTGGCTAAGTTGATTGCTGGACTTAAATACCATTCTTCTCCAGGTTACGATTTAATAGACTCGAAGTTTTTGAAGAATACAAGTTCATTTAGTTCTATTATTTTAACAAAAATATTCCAGCAGTCACTTGACACATCTACGCTACCCATACAATGGAAAATAGGTAAGGTGGTTCCACTCTTCAAATCTGGCCAAAAAACATCCCCCGCAAATTACCGCCCTATATCTTTAACCAGTACTTGCTGTAAATTACTGGAACATATCATATTCTCACATCTAGTCAATTTCCTTGAATCAAATTCGTTTTTTACATCTGCACAGCACGGTTTTCGCAAATCGCTCTCATGCGAAACACAGTTAATATCCTTTACTCACAAGCTGCATATCATTTTAGACCAATCATCAAAAGTTGACTGTGTTTATTTAGACTTTTCCAAAGCCTTTGACAAGGTATGCCACAAGCTGCTACTACACAAACTAAGCAAACTCCAACTCGATGACACCATAATGAAGTGGATTGTATGTTTCCTTGAAAATCGCTCGCAATTTGTTTCAGCTAATAATCATAACTCTTCATTCAGCCAGGTTTCCTCTGGTGTCCCCCAGGATCTGTTCTTGGACCTCTTTTGTTTCTTATTTACATTAACGATCTGCCTTCTCTTATATCCTCTAATGTTCATTTGTTTGCCGACGACTGCGTAATTTTTCGCGAAATAACTGCTGACAACGACTCCTACTCTCTCCAGTCAGATTTAAATAGTGTAAGCAACTGGTGCAAAGAATGGTTAATGGAACTTAATGTCAACAAATGTAAAGTAATGCGTGTATCGAGAACTACTAGTTGTATGCCTATATATTACCTGAACAATACACCACTTGAAATCGTTTCATCTTACAAGTACTTAGGTGTTCATATTACCAACAACTTAACTTGGACGAAACACATCGAATACATTATTAACAAGGCAAACCGCATGCTAGGTTATTTACGTCGAAACTTTTTTTCAGCCCCGTCTTCTTTAAAACTTCTTCTATACAAAACACTAATCAGATCAAAACTAGAGTATGCAACACCAGTATGGGATCCTTGCCACGACAACTTACTCACCGCACTTGAACTTGTTCAGAATAATTCAGCCCGTTTCATACTATCAAATTACAACAGAACGGCAAGTGTAACGGCAATGAAAAGTAGTATTGACCTCCCATCCTTAGCATCACGACGTCGCATTTTTCGCCTAACTTTATTTCATAAGATTTATTACCATGCTTCTCTCCATGCTGAACTGCTTTCACAACCTCAGTACATATCATGTCGAATTGACCATAATCATAAAGTTGGAGTTGTTTCATCTAACACTAAATATTTTGCTGAGTCTTTCATTCCAAAAACATCCCGAGAGTGGAACCACCTTCCCGCCGATGTTGTTTCCATACGCGTTAATCACCTGTTTCATCAAGCATTAGCTAATATTGTATAATCAGGATAATCTATGTTTTTTCTATTTAAACACATGCTCTGTTTTTTCTATGTTTTGTACATCTTATTACTCCCACTCCCCTCTTCAATGCCCATGGCCTTGAGGGTATAATAAATAAATAAATAAATAAAT